ACAGGGTTTCCTCAGTGTAATCAAGATAATCCCTCATAGACTTATCCAGAGGACAACCTGATCCAGACAATCCCTCATTGAGATCACCTTCCCAGGTGGTTCTGGATCATGTCTAATTGATAATTAAAACTAATCATTTAGGTAGACATATCAAAAATGACAAAGTTTTTCATTTCTTAATGAAGAGATAAGAGAGAAGGCAGATTGTTAATAGCATTAGTTCATTCTTCAAATGTCATCTATTTGCTTGCAGGGCTATTGGTTCATGTTTATATCATCTCTCTGTATAATGTCTTCTCATTTAGAAAGGCCTCACACATGCTAGGTCCTTTAGCTCTCACCAGAGCCCTGGAAGGTGAGTGGTCACATCCCCATTTTACCTTTAAAAGGACATGCAATGAGATGCCTAAAGCTACACCTGGACCTCTTGATCTCTGGCCCGGTCCTTCACTTTGCTCTCCCTCCCCAAGTGTCAGTACTGAGCACCAGATACAAACTGTTCCCAAGGAGAACAATGGACCTGCCTGGGTTCACACACCAGCTGCCCATTTCTCTTCTGAGTTTGTCCTGAGTCACATTTCTGGCAGAAGTTTCCTCTAATGAAAGTTGTTGGGGGCCTTTGGCAGTGAATATCATACCTATTCACTCCAGAGGCATTGTTCATAAGATTATTTAGCTGCTGTGAAGGTCTAGAGGACTAGAACTCAGAGGTCACAAACAACCCAAATTTGCCTGTTGTTCTTGCTGCTATTGGAGGCTGTCCTTCAAATGGCTGTAATAATGTTGGGAGAACATCTGCAGCCAATCTACCTTCTTATGCCACACATTAACTTGTTGATCCACAGATGCTACTTGGGTGCCCCCGCCCATCTCTTACTCCCCACACAGCTCTAAGGTGGCACCTGCAGCTCTCTACCCATCAAGCTGATGATCTCAAAGTTGGGTCATAGGCAGTGAAAAATAGATTCTTAAATATATTATCTTCTGCACAAGCATCTAAAGAGATATGATTGTTATAATCCTTGTCAGGTTTTGCTGGTGGCATTTAAGATCTCTGCATAACATCTTTAAATAGTAGTTCAAGATATTCTCCAGGTTTCCTAAAAGAGATCATCTGTTTCTGGACCTGGTTTTGCTTAGAAGCGTGGAAGCATCACTTTTGAAAGACTTTCTCTAGTGTAAGGTTAATTTATATTTTTCATAATATGAGATTTATGATTAAAATATTCCTGCTGCCTTTTGGGCTGTCATCCACTCTGGTATGACAGCCCTCAGAATAAGACGTCTTCTGAGTCTCGGGTCTCCTCTCATCTTCAGACTCAACCCCCAGCTTTTCAAAGTCTATCGTCCTCATTTTTTACTACTATACTCACACCTCTCGCTTTTGTCTCTTTGTTTGAGGGGTTTTGTTTTGTTTTATTTTGTTTTTAAGTTTTTGTCTTATGATTGATGTGTTTGAATTTCAGTGATTTAATTTTTATTCTCTGTACTCACCCTGCCCTTGCCTCTGGTCTCTTTACCTAAACTGAGTCAGTTTAAGAAAAGCCTTCATTTCCCATAATGTGTGTGTGCCCTCTCTTCTTCTTGTTCTTCTTCTTCTTGTTCTTCTTGTTCTTCTTGTTCTTGTTCTTCTTCTTCTTCTTCTTCTTCTTCTTCTTCTTCTTCTTCTTCTTCTTCCTCTACCTCCTCCTCCTCCTCCTCCTCTTCTTCTTCTTCTCCTCCTCTTCCTCCACCTCCTCCTCCCATTCTCCTCCTCCTCCTCCTTCTTCTCCCTCCCTCCCTCCCTCCCTCCCTCCCTCCCTCCCTCTCTCTCTCTCTCTCTCTCTCTCTCTCTCTCTCTCTGAGCCATGGAAAATTCCAAGGAGTGTTGGGGTGAAAGAAGAGAAAGATGTCTCTGGTGGGGAGCAATTTTGAGACTAACAATCACATAGCCATTCAGTGAGGCCACATAGCAAGGATTTAATTAATTGGGGCTCCATATTTTCCCTTTAGCTTCACAGTCTTCAGTACTGACATTACGAGGCTTCACCAAGGAGTTTTTTCCATCTCATTTATTATACTTTTTGGCTTTATAAACACTAGATGCCTTAGAAATAATTTTTCATGGAATATTAGCTGTAAAATTTGATGTCTTCTTCCTCTCCACCTCCCTCAGTGTTTAGGTGGATCCTCTTTGTAGCTTTTGAGAACTCTTCTAGTTTTCGCAATAAAGCCATGGTACTAAGAAACTTCTCACTGGAAACTAATTTGTGAGCATCATAAAGACAGTGTTCAAATAAAGGACCACACACATACAATCTTTTCAAAGAACAAATCCATAAATGCAATGCTAGACAGGCAGGCAAATAGAACATTTACCTTGGCTAGCCTTGTTCTGCCTTGTAGAGACACATGTTCTCTTTCTTTCTATTTAGAATCTCCTTCTTGCTCTTCTTTGCATTGTCAGTATCAGAAAGATGACAAATGTTGTATTCCTAAGGGTGCTCATGCCCACCCTTTGAAAGCATCAACAGTAAATGCACTTGGATTCTTCTAGGTAGTTGGTACTCATCCATCACCAAAAGGGAGTTCTCCTCAAAGCCTGCCCTCATACGCTGTAACACTTGCTTACATCATTTTTATTTGGCCTTCTTCAACTACTCCATGCTCTCTTCCCACTTATGGCTGCTCTTGCCTATTTTTCATGCTTGGCCCCTTCACATCAGCCACAGGACCTCTCATTACAGTCTCGATATATGGAGTCCAGTGTTTCCCAACAGATGCACCATTGATATTTTGGGCCAATAAATATTTAGGGGAGCAGGAAAGTCCTTCATCTTAGGACATTTAGCAGTATCCTCTCCAACTACTAGTTGACAATGGCATCCCTTGTCCAAGTTATGACAATTTTATGAAAATGGATTTCCTGGAGGAAAACTTTCACCTGGTTGAAAATCAAGTCTTATCAAAAAGACAACTGTTCCTTTAGATGTTTACATCATTGCAATAGATTTGAATGTAGTATCTTAATGGAAACTAGCTTCTGTTGTTTATCTGATTTATGAGTCAAAAATGTAGACTCCTGATTATTTCCTGAGAAGAAACAGTATTTCCTTACTTGTTTCCTACAGAACCCTTTTCAGTGGTAAACTCTGCATGTGGCTCTGCCCCTGCTGACCTTTGCTTTGAAGTGCTTTGAATTCTTGCAAAGAAAAGTATCATGGGAATACACAGTTTGAAAGACAAAGTTTTATGGCTCCATATATGGAAGCCAGGCTGATACGTTGAGTGTGCTTCATCAACTGTATGGATTCCACAGAGTGACCTGAGGACACTATATCCCCCACAACATCATCATACAGAAGTCTACGCTCATACACACATACACACACACATACACACACACACACACACACACACACACACACACACACACACACACACCAGAGCCACCCCATCACTGAAGTGTAAAATGTCTTGAGTTCAGAGTACAATAACTGCTTATTAAATGAAAATAATATTGAAAAAGGACATGGTTGTTTTTGAAGACCTTACTTTGAACTTAGGATATGTTTTCTATCTCCATAGACAATTAGAAGTATGTTTTATTTGCTACAAAGAAAGTGGAAAATTATAACGAAATGGGTTTCTCTAGAAAACTCATTTGGAAAATAGGTGAGAAAATATAACCCATGAGCATAACAGATCTTAGTTTTAAATAAATAACCAATGTGTACTGAACTCTGACCAAATGCTATGTTCTATGTGGAACTTCACAGTTAACCTTTATAATGTCATGAGGAGGGAGATACAGTTCTTTTCTCAACTCTACAAAACCTCACAGGTTAACTAGAACTGTCCTCTGTTAGAGATCCAAGAATTCCTCATTAGGTTAAAATATATGCTGACTCAAAATGAGTTCATGTTGCTCCAGTTATGCTACCAGCATACAAAAGAGTAACAGTTTGCAGCATGCTCAGAATCATCAGTAGAAACATAAGTGAAACTCCCAGCTCTTTCTTGGAAGTCCCAGAGAATTTGACATGCCACAACCTTTCTAGGTATTTGGAAAAGTGAGGATATTCCTTTCTTTCCTCCCTAAAAGGAGTTTAACATTTCGCAAGTGCATCGTGCAGTGGGCCTTGTATTACTCTAAGTTGTATAATTGACTATGAGTTGACTAAGACTCCCATGCACTACTGCATAAACAGCTATCTGGTTAGACAATCACAGGGAAGCTATGCCAAAAGCCTCCATTTACAATGAATGCCTTGGTGGATCCTGAAGGAATATAATGTTCAAGACAGATCACAGACTTTACTGTGCCTCCCCAGGGTACCAGTGCATACCTTCTCCTGTCTTGAGACTATGCTATGAATGAGCTCCATGTTGTCCTGCCTGCCACTTGACCAGCTCTATCCAGATAAGCATAATTCTTACTTTGGGCAAGAACTGATCTCCTACATTGTCACTGTACCCCATACTGCTTTAAGATTACTCTGAGAGCTAGAGTTTCTAAAACATCCCAGTTAGATGTCAAAGATACACATCTTCTATCTGATTATAAATATTATTACAAAGAACCAAATATGGGACAATAACCTTACCTTGTCAATTCAAGAGTACCTACAGGCACAATCAGTAGCATGGGCTTTTCAACATGGAGCTATGACTGATGGCCTTGTGTGTGCACCATTCCTGCTAATAGCTCTGCTTGCTCAATAAAGTAATATTGAAATAAGAGAGGCTGTCTTCTTGCTATGTTGTAACCAACAGCGCATTTCCATTTGGGGTTTTCATTCTGAGAATATTCTCAGAATTATCATATGAGAAGAATTACAAGTAACTATCTGTTGTTTGCTGTGCCTAGCTTCTGATTCCAGTAGGCCTGCAAGTCCTCCAAGAGTCTTCCTGCCCAGTCAGGCCAATTTCCCTGTGGCACGCCCTTACCACCTTAAGGCTCTCTGTAAACTATATCTGTGATTTGTATTTTCTGACCTCTTTTTTTTTTCCCCCTACAGTGCGGCAAAGGAGCAGAAAACTTTGACAAGTTCTTCACACGAGGGCAGCCTGTCTTAACACCACCAGACCAGCTGGTCATCGCTAATATAGACCAGTCTGATTTTGAAGGGTTCTCGTATGTCAACCCCCAGTTTGTGCACCCAATCTTGCAGAGTGCGGTATGAAATTCAAAAATGAAAGATGAAATGCCTCCCCAGCCCCCAGCCTCCCCAGCAGTGGGAAGTGATCCTTAACCATAAAATTTTAAGGCTATGGCCTTGAATTTTGTTCCACACAGAGGCCTGAAAATTCTAGGGACATTAGTCCATAAGTGATCAACTTTCTTCCCTACCCCCCAACCAGAAACATTATCTTAGTGGATGATGACATAATGTACAGAGTATAGATTAATTATGTAGAAGTCACATCTAGCTAAAAGTTAATTCTTCCTAGAAAACAAAGAGACTTGGACCCTATTTTTTGGTACAATTTGATATATTCTCCATACCTTCAATTTCTTGGATTTTCACTATCCAAATCAACCAGAGATAGTAAAGTGAATTCACCCTAATTCAAGGGATGGAGACATTTCCACCCACGATGTCTTTGGAATGAAAGAACAAGAATCCCAAAGAGAAAGCAAAGAGAGGTTGAGGACTCATATATTCAAGAACCCATTGCTTTTATTCTCTACTTCAATGGAAACAGTCCCTAGAGTCTGAGAGGGCAGGATGAACCCGATCACTGTTCCCAGTTATCATAGCACAAGCATAGTGCATAGTGTAAGAATGAAAGAAAACTTCAGACAAATATTCATTGAATCTATCATCTGTATTCCCCTGCTTGGTTGATAACTATCTTGATAACTCATTCTTTTTAAGAGGCCAAATTGTCTAAGGACTTTGCTAAACAAAACATGTAAAATCATTTCAGATCAAGGATAAATCATGTGTATGTTCATTTTAATCTCTGGGAGATGACTCTTCAATCCAGGGTGCCATCAGTAATCATGCCACTATTTACGAGTGTTGTTAGCCAACCCCACACACACAATAATATTTTGCTACCTTTGTGGGTACCCTTCCTAAGAAGCTGAAATGTATGTCCCCATCCCCTTTTTTACTATTTATTTAATAAGCTGCAGTGTCATTTATGGAAGTACAATGTATAGTAACTTAATCAAAGTATTGACTAGCATCAGTCCCTATAGATTGATTTTCCTCCTTTCTCTAGCCCTACATCCACTTAGAGATGAAAAAGAGTATAGTTTGGGTTTCCACTCCCAGTTCCAATTGAACGACACATGTGGAGCTGTAGGATCAAGATACTTTATGCTTATATCAGCTCAAAGATGTTTTCTTGCTAGAAGGATTTTAATGTTTTATGAGTGCATCATGCAATGAATTTTGCATGTTTATAATAAACCTTAATAACAAGTTAATCTATATTATTGATATAATTGTATCAAGTATAAAGAGTATTATGATAATTTTTATAAGACACAATTGTGCTATATTTGTGACGCTCATGTTTCCAGTCTGCTTTAAGATTAAGTGTTAGCTTTATTCATTGCTGCTGGGCTCTCTCTTACCCGCTACCCCACATACTAGCACTCTATCAGATATATTAATTTTTTAATGTAGATGTAATTTTAAAAATGAATGGCTACTTTACATGTTTAACTAGGGTTTTACTATATATGTGTACATATGTATATATATATATTTGATTTTACCTGCAAACCCCGGTTTTGTTTGTGGGGATTATTTTTGAGATGAGACTCTGTTAACTTCTTCATGTTATCCTCTGTTCAGGTTCCTCTACCACCCCACTTCTCTTGAGGACAGCTGGAAATGTTTAATTCCAGTATTCCTGATATGTTCATATATCTGTGGCATTGTTACAGCACCTGGGCTGAACTCTGTGTGTGTGTGTGTGTGTGTGTCTGTCTGTCTGTCTGTCTGTCTGTCTGTCTGTCTATCTGATACTTTTCAGCCTATGTCTTTGGGAACTCTAGGGATGAAAGGGTGGGAGGATTCCTTTCTGTGTGTACATACGGACACACAAAAATATGTAGTCTGTCTTTCCAGAATAACTCACTGTGTACTCCAGAACACACAGAATCCTTGAGACAAACTTTGTCCCCATGCCTGTGTAGAGCCATCTCTGAAGCTGTTGCCAACAGACTCTCTTCAGAGGCACGCACTGTCTTAAAGCTGTTCCTAGAACATTCCGGTCTTTGAAGAGCATGTCTTTGGCCAAATGCCTCCCAATACAAGGTGTTTAGAAGAGGCAGGGTTCTTCAGCACAAAGGACAAGTGAAAATGAAGTTCCTACCAGTCCTTATAGAAGGCACCTCTCCTGAAAGCATCTCACAGCTAAGCTCTCTTCTTTGTTACTCTCTACCTATCTGCTTGACAGTCACATACCCTGCAACCCACCAAGAGTCTTTGAGATACTGAGCACAGGCAGTTCTGAGAACCCCTAATCAGAAGGAGATATGGAGTGGAGAGTGGGCCAAACCAGAAAAGAGCAGTTTCTTCTGCAATCTTTCATGAATTCTGGACTTCAGACCTTGAAAAGCAGGGGAGGGAGTCATGTATGGATCTCAGAAGTCAAGCTCGTCATCTTGGCAACCTAGCCTTATCAAAAACTATACCTGGTCAAACTGTGAAGGAAATGGTGTATACATGAGCCCAGGAAGTGAAAGTGTTGTTCTTTCCAGTTGGTACAGCAACAGGAAGCTGAACCTCTCAAAGTAAGGGAAGCCACGGAGAAGAAGCACAGGGTTCATAGATAATCCGTCCCCGAGGTGCCAAGCTGCCTGATTCTCTCACGTCAGTAGCAGGCTTGGGTTCTTTAAACTGCCAGCACCCAGCTCCAAGTGATTCAACTTCTCTAGAAAATAGGTGCGAACCCTTGGATGGCTATCCACCGACATTCCCAACGGGAGGAGGGAAATAACAGAGCCCAGACCAGCATTCGCTAAGGAACAGAATGCTAGAGAACAAACTTAGGAGAGATGATAAGAATTTAAGGGAGTGTTCACAGTGCTGCCTATTCTGTACACTGCTGAGTGTTAAATTCGGATAAAGGCTCATACTTTAAAGATCTGGGCAGCAGAGACAGTTTTTACTACAAAACTAACTCATGTGGATGACCGTTAACAGCTGTTAGACAGGGTTCATTGATAATATTCTACATCTCTGTCCCACTTCACAGACCTCGTGTGAAATGGGGCTACAGGGAAACGTTTGCCATTGAACTGAAGTAACCCCATCAGAGGCCAGAGGCCAGAATCACCAGGAGGGTGCCTTGAAGGGTTTAATCCCCAGGGACTGCAGGAGTGGGGGTAGGGGAAACTATTTAGAAAGCATCTGCTCTCAGACTCTGCCTGCATTGGCAGGGCCTGTGGAGGAGAACCTAGCACAATCCAAATCTCCACAGGACCCATCAGGCTGTGACTCAGAAAAATTCATTGAAATTGTTTTGTATTATATTCCCCTGGAAGGTGGCAAATGCTCAGCGGCAGCCCTTCCCTCTTCCACCACAGGCCAGTGGGCTGCTAGCTCTGCCTTCAGTGTAGCATCAAAGTCACCTGGTGCTTGGGTTGAATGGAAAGGGCTGGAGTATGCTGCCAGGTGCAGCCCTGGGAGTTAATGGCAGGCTCGCCTCCAGGCAGGAGCTAATTCAGAAGGTAGATGAGGAGCCCCAGGAGCTAAACCAATTGCCTTTCACCCTCTCACCACTGTAGCCTAGTTTGAGCTAGTAGCCTTTTCTTTAATTATTAATTTTGTTAGTAATTTGAGAAAATCAGGAGGCCAAGAGTTTTTTGGAAGGTTGGTCTTAGATAGTCATGTGAAAGATTACCAGAGGCCAGTATTAACCCTCAAGTGTTGTCACTCACAAGCTCCTCAGCAAAGCATGGTTTCTCAGCAAAGCATGGTAGCTTGCCAAGCCCAACAGAGCCACCCATTAATGTATCACAAAGAGGAGGAAGCAGAAGTCAACATCATTAAAGAGCAGGGTTTGAGTGCACCCAGAAAGACATGGAAGGTTGGCAGAGAGGATGTAGTATCTGTGTGGGCTTTCCACTGGTGCAAATGGAAGTTACTCTCTGTCAGCCTTCAAAATGAGTGATTTTTTTTTTGGTCAGATACAATCTGTTGTTCCTTCTCAGACCATCCCAACTGTAAGAAGTCCTTTGCCCTGGGCAGAGCCAGGCCAGCCAGCGGACCCTGGAAGCACTAAGTTCCATCTTTATCCCCCTGATAATTATGACTGCTGAGACTAGGTCCAGAAGTCATGAAAACAACCGACAGCAACCTGTCAGCTTCTGCTTAGCAGAAAAAAATAGGAAGGGTTTGCACAGGGCTTTATTTTCTCAAATGCCTCCACGAGGCAACACCTCCTGACAGTCATTTTCTCACCTTGGTCTTATGAAATCACCTATTTCTTGTGTGTACATGTCATGCTGTTTCCTGTTTGTTTACAACCCCAGAATGGCAGGGGTACCTGTCCCCACACCACGACTGAGCGTATCAAACACTTATGCTCAGGAGATGCTTGCTGAGCCAGGGACCTGAAAGGATGCTGACCATGAGAGATGGGGGGCAGGGGGGACACAATAGCAAGGAACAAGACAGGTCCTCTGGTTAGCAGTGGGTCCACACTAGCATGACAGTGTTAGGAAACTTGTTTTAAAATAGTTCTCCATGAGCTGCTGTTAAGAAACTGTGCTGAACAATCAACACCCCTGCCACATCTCACTGGTCCAGCGTAGCAAATCTAGAAAAAGCTGTTATTTTCTGTTGTTAGAATAATCCAGAAAATCAGGAAAGGGTGCTTGAGGCATGCACAGGCACAGTGTTCTAGAAACGGTGTCTACTGCTGTCCAAGTGATGATACAGTAATGTTTAAAAAGCATGGATGGCTCAGCAGTCTGTGCCCCTCATTCATGTGGTCAGATGTCAGTCAATAAACAGAAGACACTCCAAGTCATTAAGCAGCCTTACTGTGCCCCTCCCTGGAAGCCCAGAAGTTCCAAAGACTGTTTTTAGCCTAAAACAAGAAATTAACTTATTAACTCCAATAGAAGACCTGGGTATCCTGGGCTATTTGTACTTTTTTATAGAGGACTTTAATAACTCAATTCTTTTCAAGTGAGTTTTTAAAATAATAAAAATTTCATAAAATTCCAATTCCGCAGAGCCTACAGGAGGATTTCACCCAGGTTGGATAGAACACCCAAGATCTGCATCCCCATGGCAGGACTTTCCCACGCCAGTGGGGTCTGGAGTCCACATTGGATTGGCTGCCCAATGGTATTCTCTCTCTTTCTTAGTAGACACTAAAGATAGCCGCACAAGGTTTAGCTATCTTTCAACTGTAGGGATGATGGCTTCATAGCCCCCCCTTCCTGATGCAGCCCTAGGAAAGCATTCTTGGGGATCTAGAGGACCCCACTCTGCACTGTAAGAGTCAGAGCAAGAAGGGCATGTTTCTTCAACTCTGTCTCAAGTCCCCTCTGGTCCTTCAGTCTCTCACATTGGATAAAAGTGGAGAGATGCCGTCTACGGATTCTGCCCATTGGGCAATTCAAACCTACTATCCCGGGAAGAGCCGGCATTGACTGTGCCCGAGCATCTGCTTCCATTTTCATGGCTGTGAGTAGACAGAACCCTACTTTTGAGAATACACCTATCTAGCCCACTTTGTAAGAACCCCTTTTTCTAAACTATAACAAAAGGCGGCTTTGCACTTTCTGATCAAACTACACTGTCTTTTGTCTCCTGCTTAACTTTAAGACTATTCTGTGATTGACGTTTATAGATTTTTGTTAATATTTTGCCTGAAAAAATGTGACTCTCTCCTTGGGAGGTTTAGTAGACTATTAAAAATTATACATGAAGGTGGTTACTATTTTGAGGCTAAAGGTTTTTCTAAGAATCGACCTCCTATCCTGACTATGAGGGTTTTTCAGAATACCTTTTATAGATGATCAGATGCATTTGGAGTTGTTCCCACATGATTTCTGTTCTGTTTTATGAAGAACGCACCATGTTTAAACCTCTCAGTGAAATAAAACACCATGCAAAACCCCAGATTGGTTTGAAGGAAGTAGTGAAGGTTTGGGCTGTTTCCCCAAACAGGCCTTTGCTGATGAGCCAGGGGCTGTTGCACTGCTTGTTTGGTTACCTAGCAGGTGAGGTAGATATGTAAATTACCGCCTAGCTTTCTTGGATTTGTGTAACCTCTCGTCTCCGTTTGCATGATTCGCTCTGTTAGATGCATTCACTGTAGTTCGGAAGCAAGCGTGTATGAATAAAGATACTGATCACTGCTGAGTGAGCGTCATCTGCATCTGGTAGCGGCCTCGTTCGCTCGCCCACCTCGCCCACCCGTGTTTCCCACCCAGCGTTCTTTGAATGGCCGGCATTGACTCTGGACACATTCTGTAGAACATTTTCATCTTTTCACCCATTTCAGGCATGGCTCTCTGTTAAAGTCTCTTTAAAAAAAAATCACAAAATAGCTTTGGAGACTGGGTTTAAGAGCACTCACTGTACAGTCCTGAAGACTAGAGTTCAGATCCCAGTACACACAGCAAGCAGGATATCCCACAAAACTAGCACTGATGGATCGAACACCTGGCTTCTGAGCAAGCCAGTGTGAGAGCAGACCCATACACACATATACTCACATACAAATAAATGAATGACTGAATAAATGTACTAAAAAGAAATCAAAATACTGTGTGCTGGGCCAGTTGAGGTAGTTCAGTAGGTAAAGGCACTTGCCACCAAACCCGAGGACCAGAGTTCAATCCTCAGGACTCACATACTGGGAGGAGAGAGACCTGACTCCTAAACAATGTCTTTCACTTCTACATGCATGCTGTGGCGCTCTCTCTCTCTCTCTCTCTCTCTCTCTCTCTCTCTCTCTCTCTCTCTCTCTCTCTCTCACATAATCCAGGCTGGCCTCAAACTCTGTATAGTTAAGGATGACCTTAAACTCTTGACCCTCCTACCCGCAGTGCTAGGGTACAGACACCACCACATTCAGTCGTAGTGCTGGGGACTGAACTGGTGCTTTGTGCACACCAGGCAAAAAGCCGACCAACTGAGCTGCCCCCAACCCCCAGAACCCAGTTTCTAAAAGCCAAGGGCTGATGTTGGCAATGCGTCTTGCTCATGCTCTCCTGACATCTTCCTCTAAGAGGCCTCTCCCCTTAAACACATAGCTTTGCTCCATTGCAACCCCCTACTTCCCTTCCCATCCCCAGTCCTGTGATGCCCAACACAGACCTGCTTATCTTAATGCTCTCTGCATTCATAGATGTACCCACTAGGTGAATGTTTTGTCCCTAAGATGTTGAAGTCACACCCAACCTCCCAAAGTTCAAGGTCTTGCATCTGCCATGGAAAGGGCCAGGGGACTGGGTTCTGAGGAGAAGCAAAGAACAGTGTATATTCTCTCTCTGTCTCTCTCTGTCTCTCTGTCTCTGTCTCTGTCTCTGTCTCTCTCTCTCTCTCTCTCTCACACACACACACACACACACACACACACACACACACACACACGTCGTCTATCTGAAACAATACCCTCATGAAGAGCCAGTGGCCCGAAGGGCCTGACTCAGTCCACCAAGGTTTACCCTGGCGGCTTCAGAGGCACAAGCAAGATTGAATGTGACTTGTCCACCCAACCCTACAGAGGTGGAGGGGATGGCCTGAAGTCATGAACAATACTCTTCCAGGGGTTTCAGGGGGAAGCTCAAAAAATAGATCTTCTGTTCAATAATGGCCTCTGCCATCGCCACCTCTGCCTATTGACATCCAGTCTGGTATTGCTGGGGACACTCAGCCAGGATTCTCAGCTGAGGGCTGTTTTGCTCCTGGGACATCTAGAGTTTTGATTTTTTTTTTTTCGGACACAGCCAGGAGGCATGCTGCTGATTCTGCTGGGGAGAGGGTGGGGATGCTGCCAGGCTTCTCACAATACATGAGGCAGTCCCCACTTCAGAGCTCTGCCATGCTCAAAATTTTACTGGTCCTGCTGTTGAGGGGCCTAGCCTAAAATATAACCCTTCTACTTCGCTCCATCTTCAGCCTGAGGTGACCCTTGATCTCTTGCGGCCACTCCTGCACAGCAGCCCGCAGGACCAGATGGGGCAGATCTTTCCTGTTTAAAGCTCTCCAATAGCTTCCCCTCCCCCACCATCCACAGCCTGCCAGCATAACTCACTCTCCAGATACTGGGTCAGCAGTCAGGAAGGTAAGTTCAGAAATGCTGACTTGGGCTATTGGCTAAATACCTGGGCTGGGGAAATAGTAAAGTGTGTGTTTCATAAGCATTAAGGACCCGCATTCAATCCCCAAAACCCATGTTTTAAAAGGTGGGCATAGTGGTGGGTACTTATAATCCCAGCCCTGGGGAGGTAGAGCTAAGTCCCATGACCACCCAACCTAGCTGAATAGCCACACCTCGAGCCAATAAAAGACCTTGTCTCAGAATAAAAGGCAGATAGCTCCTGAAAGACAACATTGGAGGCTGTTCTCCGCTCGCAACAAGTATCCGCGTGCGCACAAAAATGCTGATTTATTGTGCGCATGTGCATAAGGCTCTTTCCTCTCAGAATATGCTACGTGAGGGACCCAGCAACTAAAGCAGTGTTTGTACCTAGTAGAGCCGCAGAAGAACGTTTGTCTAATGAGTAAATGCATAAAAGGACCCCAAGAAGGCTGTGCTACCCCACAGTACTACAGGAATCATTACCAGGCCCTGGTCCTTGCCCTTGGAGGTGTTGCAGCACTAAGGAGGCTAGGCACACGGGCATGGCGCAAAGATGAAAGCACCAGGAGCGGATGGTGCCTCAGAAACCCCGATTCTCAGCTTCTGTCCTTCAGCCTTGAGTCTAGAGGCAGTGGTTGCCCGCGGTTACACTTGAGTGGTCGGTCAGCACCCTGACATTCTCCTCTAGCCTATAGTGTGCTCTTGGGGGTGGCGGTGTAGTAATTAGGGTTCAGCTAACATGGTACTATGCACACAGCACAGACTCTGGATTCTCACACCCTGTCCCACGAGGGACCATCACAGGGATGGGTACGGCTTGCAGGGTGTGTGCAAGAAGTGCTTTGGGCTCTACGCAAGCAAGATTGAATATCCCAAGATTCTTTTCTTGTAAGCTAGCTCAATAGATATATAGCAGGCAAGCCGGTTCTAGTCGTGAAAAGAGGAATGGAATTCGGCGAAACCAAAGGGCTAGGGGTAAGCTCAAGGACTCGACAGACACAGACAGGTGAGCAGGTCAAAGAAACAGAAGTCTGAAGCAGATGACAGACAAGTCACACACAGCAGACACAGGGACGATCCTTCATAAAGGTGCCAGACACACCTCCTACAGTTCCTTTGTTTGCATTTATTTAAAGCCCGAGGTGACAGCCACCTCAGGTAGAACCTAGTGATGACCTTGTTCATCTTACATAAGAACAAAGACCAGGTCAGAGAAGTAGAATATCAGTACCCAGGGAAGCAAACTCTAGATGCTTCTTGTCCACTCTAAGTACAGGGACATCACCTGTGCCTGGCTGGTGTCGCCTGGAGGGGAAGGCCAAGAACCTGTGATCTGAGGAAGGAGGGGCTAGAAAGAGGAGATCAGTGCAAGCAGAAACTAACCAATGGGAGGGAGAGGAAGTGGTATAGTCCATCTAGCATCTGCTATGGAGTCTGGACATAATGACCTCATTAACTCCCATGGCCCTGTTGGGACAGAGGTCATGTAAGGACTTAGAGCTGAAGAAACCTTGTGATGTCTCTCTATTGTAGAGGCTGAAGTTTACACCTTAATGATGGGAAAATGAAGGCTCAGGCACTAAGAGGCACCGGTAAGCTAGGTACAAGCTGGGTACCACTATGTATACTCTTCCCGACCTTAGCCTACTCGAAGGTTGGATGCTGCAATAAATAAGAGATGCAGGACCTCCTGAAGGCTTCTTCCTGTCACCACTTCCTTTTAAGTTCCACCACCAAGGGGGAAGTTGTCCTCGTCTGACTGGATTATGAGACTAGATGCCCTTCTGCAGCTGTTTCCAGAAGCTTGCCACTCCTTCACCCTCTTCCTCCTGATTTCATCCCCCCCCCCCCCACACACACACACACTTTAGCACTGTGTTCAGGGAGGAGAGAGAAAAATAGCATCCCTGTTCTTAGAACCCAGCAGGTACTTCGCAACCGCCCACACCTGCCTGCCTCTCGCCCAGAGAGACCCAGGAGAAAGAAAACAAGCTCCAGGAGTGGCTGGCTGGCCGGGGGCTCAGCCTCCACAGCAGCCTTGAATTGAGAGGCCCCTCTCCTAGGAGTCAAAAGCCATCAGAGGGAAGCATGGTCTAATGGATAGGGGACAGGGGACACAGCAGAACAAGATACTCGGTGTCTATGGCAATGAGCAGCCCAGGGAGCAGCAGTGGGACTTGGCTGTGACAGAACACTGTAGGAATGCTTTTACTATTCTAGAACTTGACTAAAATGACACCTTGATTCCCAGAGCTAATGAAAAGTGAAGCCCTGTCACTGTGAAGACAGTACTGTCATACTTAACAACCAGATAGCCGGGCCATCACATTTGTCTTCATGTCTTTCTGTGCTGGCAAAGCGATCCTGTACTAAATGTCAGTGGGGCTCACAGCTATTGATTCTGTACATATGGTGTGTGTGTGTGTGTGTGTGTGTGTGTGTGTGTGTGTGTGTGTGTGATGAATGTGGTCTATGTGTGTGTTCTGTGGTGTGTGTGTAATGTGTTGTGTGGGGTGTGTGTAAGTGTGTGTGTGGTATGTGATGTGTGTGTGATATGTGTGTGTGTATGGTGTGTGTGTGTGTGTGTGTGGTGTATGGTGTGGTATGTGTGTGTGTGGTGTGTGTGTGTGTGGTGTGATATGTGTGTTAGTATGCTGTGTGTGAGATGTGTGTGGTGTGGTGTGTGGGGACATGGGGGGGTGTGCACGCACACTGGCCATATGGTGTGTGTGTGTACATGCACAAGTGTGAGAGTGTGCATAGGAAGACCAGGCTCAAGATGCCAGGCATCTTCTTAATTGCTCTCTGCCTTCTTTGTTTATGAGTTTGTTTTGAGGCAGCATCTCTCACTGACATGGAGCCCACCAATTCTTTTCAAATTGCTGGCCAGGGAACCCCAGGGAATCCTCCTGCCTCTGCCTCTGCCTCTGCCTCTGCCTCTGCCTCTGCCTCTGCCTCTGCCTCTGCCTCTGCCTCTGCCTCTGCCTCTGCCTCTGCCTCTGCCTCTGCCTCTGCCTCTGACCCTGACCCTGACCCTGACCCTGACCCTGAC